ACTCGTCGAGTGCATGAACTGACTCGGCGAGTTGGTTGAATATATGCATGAACTCGGCGAGTCAGCTGTGCAGAATGCAGTTTTTCGACATTTTCCAGCTATTTGCATCAAGTATTCAAGAAAACAAGCCTAGTCTCTGATACCACTGTTGGGTTTTGAGCATTCTAACACTCCTAAGTGTACATGCAACCCTACTAAACCTTGGATCTATGTTTTTTCTAAAATACATGCAAATAATAATTTCCAAGGTTTACATCCTAACTAGCATGGCATGAAGAACTAGAATCATAAAACACTAGAAGAATGACATACCTTTTGATAGTGATTGATTGCTTGGAGTTTGAGAGCCTAGCACCAATAATGTGAATGCCTCAAGTGGAATCACAAATCACCACAAACCTTGGAACCTTGAGAGAATAATATATGTGCTCTAGAAATTAGGTCACCACTCTTGTTCACACACAACTAGTGTCATTTCAAGCATCATAAGCTCCTTTATATAGTGTGGAGGATTAGGGTTACATCCATGTAAACCCTAATACCCATGACTCTTCCTTTCCAAGGATTCATGGGTTAAAAGCTCCATGGACTATCCATGGATTCCCATGCATGTCAAGCCCATTCCAAATGAGTATTAGCCCACACTACATAATATACAAGAGCCCATATTTAATTAGTCACCTTTTTGATCACCAAATTAATTCTAAATTAATTTATGACCAATACTAATTAAATAATATGATTTAATATTAATATATTATAACTTATAATATATTAATAAAGCATGAACATACTATTCTCAAAAGATTATCCAAACAAATTGTTCGGGTGAAGTGCAACCCAAATGGACCATGCCGGGTCGGGTCAAGTACATCTCAAATATTGTTATGGACTTAGACACCTTATCCAACAATTAGAACCATGGAAACCACTCAAGGGAGGTTAGAAAACCAAACCCTAATCAAAGAATCAAAAAAAATCGCCATTGGGGTTTTCCACACATCATGAGATCGATTTCTAGGCTAAGAGGGGAATAAATTATACATTGTAATCCTTTGTTCCTCCCTTTCTTTGCTTGGGTGTTCAAATCTTCACTTGAATCAAACCGTAGAAGCTTTTGAGAACAAAAATCACCATTGGAGTGTAAGAAAAAGTAGGGTTTTTAGTGGAGAAGTTTTAGAGTGTAAGAAAAAGTAGGGTTTGTAATCCGGATTTTAATGAGGATTTAGGGTTTCCAAAACTAACGAGTTTCGTTAGTTTTACCATAATCACCCTCAGGAATCTGAATTTCCCACTATGTTCCCATATGTAAAATTCGGAGAGGTTTTGGGGCTCTGCCCCTTGGACCCCGCTAGGGGCGTTGCCCCTAGACCCCGCCAAATGGGTGTCGCCCCTTTTGAAACACCGGACCTAGGGGCGCTGCCCCGGACCCCCGACTTGTCGTCGAACCAGCTTCTAATTTGATCTTATATATGTGTGCACTCCGCACAAACTCGTACATATATTAAAGTACAAATTATGAAGCCCCTTAGCTCACATGTTAGTTTCAGTTACATAAAATGATATGGTGACACTAAAATCACCAACATAGAGGAGGTGGTATGCCTCATTCACGTTATTTTCCACCTGAGGGAAGTAGATGCATCATTATTTCCCAATAATTTACCATTTGGTCCCTGTAGTTTACATCTTTTAATTAAAACCCACAAACCCTTAATATTTAGGATTGTAACTTAAGTTTTCACATAATAAGTCATCCGTCATCCATTTTATAACTTTGGTAGTCCATTCCATTAATTCAGTCAACCTTTTGGTCAACTCACTTTACAAACTTTATACTTTTGGCCCTTTAACTTTTAAAATGTTATTCTTTTTACTTCTAACTTTCTAAAATTCATATCAACTAACGATATGATTATCCCATAATGATTTAATTATATAAATCATCATTTACTCATTTACCTTATTATTTTAGTGATCTAGTCCTAAATTTAGGATGTTACAATTTAACCCGCAAATAGTAACTTCCTATTTTCTAATTACCTAATTACTCATCTTGCATGATATAAATAACTAAAATTCCCATAATGACTTTTGTATAAATTTTAATCATTTATTTATTTATTATGATTTGTTTTAATTAATTTTATTTTATTTAAGTTTTCCAATAATTTTTATTTTTACCAAAAAATATAAAAACATCTAGCCCCTAGATAAAGGTGTTATAGAAACCTTTTTGGTATTCATGACATTCTAAAACGAAATAGAAAATCAACTAGATAAAAAGATTAAGTTTCTTTTCCAAAGGGGTGGTGAGTATCTTAGTAAGGATTTTAGTAATCATCTAAGGAATTGTGGGATTTTTTTTGCAATTAACTCCATTTGGGTCACCACAGTTCACAACGATGTAATCGAGATGAGAAACTGAACATTGCTAAATATGGTTATGTCAATAATATCACATTGTGTTTCCAATCAGTTTTTGATAATATGATTTAGAAAAACTACAACGAGAGTCATAAACCTTATATTAGTAAAGAAGGTCTATAAAACACCCTGTAAAATATGGAGTGGTAATAAACAATCACTAGCATATTTAAGATTTTGTGGTTGTGAGACTTACGTTCTTCATGAAAGTCAATCAAATTAGAATCCACATAAATAGAGGTGGTAATAAACCATCACTAACATATTTAAGAGTTTAAGGTTATGAGGCTTACATTCATTAACCAACAAAGAGCGTCTTGACACTAATAACTAACAAGAGATTATAGAACATGTTGAGCTTCAACAAAGAGTTATTGAGGAACATGTCATATAGTTTGTCCATAGATATAATATAGTATGTCATGCACTAGAAAGATACACTTTACTCATATCTCATAGTGATAAGTCTTGAGTAGATCATGATGAGCATATCAACTATCAGGAAGCCATGTCATATCTATAATCTACTAGGTTGAAAAAGGTCATGGAAAATGCGATGTAACCTACGTATGATAATCAATTATTGGACTTGATTAATGAATAATATGAATGTAAATCAGTCAGGTATAAATAGGTTTTTAATAAGAAGACTAACATGGAAAGGAAGTTACTAACATAAAATCCAACTGGCAAAAAGATTACATGCAAACTCATGGCAAAAATGTTATATTGATATTAATGCAATACTAATCCTAACAGGTATATCACAATGTAAAACAAACGAGTGTAGAATGATATAAAGGACCGTGAGCCGTTATAATCTTGGAAATTTATGTCTCATGTGGGAAGCACATGTCTCCTTTTTTCTAAGAGCATCTCCAACCCACTCTCATTCTCTATTTTTTTCCTCCATTTCTTCTCCAACCCTCCCCCATTTTGGGGGATATGAATAGTACTACACCAAATATGGGGTTATACTATTCATTTCTCCGAAAAAGGGGGTGAACTTTGTGTTGTCGGTTTTAGTCTCTCTGTTATATATTTATACATTTCTAGTTCATTATTACCTACTAATTATAATTTAAATATAATATTTAATACTTATAATATTTTGTTATATATTAAATTATATTAATTAATTATAAATATAAAGTTTGTTTTTCACTTTTTTGTTCATCAAATTCATATAAAAATTTAAATACATATTGAAATTTTAAAAAACGATAACGTATTTTATAAAAACTTATAATTAAAATATATATTACAAACACGATAACATATGCTATTAAACATGTCGTTAACCTATATATTACAATAATAATCTAATAAAAACCAACAAGTGACAATACTATTATTTATTTATTTATTATTTATTTAAAAGTGTGTATGTGTAATATTTGTATAAATACATGTATAATATTTATTTATAAGTTTATTATAAATATAATCGTTTGTATTTAATATTAATGTAATGAAAAAAATATAAATTATATATTTGTTAAAACTAAATTAGTAGAGGGGTGTGTTTAACTATCTATGTAAGTTGGAATAATGGAATATATTAGGAATATACTTTTTGGGAATAAAAATGTGGTAAAAAATGGAGTAGGGTTAGAGATGAAACACTATTTGCCCCATTTTTTACAACCCTACTTCATTTTCTACCCCATTTTTTACCCCAAAAAGTATATTCCTTGAATATTCTATTTTTTTAACTTATATATATTGTCAAATATACCCCTCTACTAATTAAACTCTATATTTATGATTAATTAATATAAATTAGTATATAACATGATATTATAAATATTAAATATTACATTTAAATTATAATTAGTAGATAAAATAAACTAGAAATGTATAAAATAAAAATGAGAATGACTAAAATTGGCAACCCAACTTCACCTCTATTTTTGGAGATATGAATAGTATTCCCCCATATATAGGAGATCTATTCATATCTCCAAAATGGTGGTGAAAATGAGGTAGGGTTGGAGAAGAATGGGGGAAGAAATGGAGTTTGGGGGTGGGTTGGAGATGCCCTAAGGGAGTTTAACGGAGAGACCAAATGTGTGACAAAACCATTACTTAAGGACTATCAACGTTAAAGTTAAAAAAGGTAAACTTGATTTAGAAAAGCCATTAAACCATATGGACCGAAAATGTAATTTTGTATAAATACTTTAAACTTGGGGTAGTCGGGTCGGGTACCCAATACTCCCATGAACGGTGCTTCTTCACCACCATAGCAACCATTTCCATCGCGCAAATCCGGAAGATGCTGAGGAGGAAACCAAGCATGCTCGAAGTCAAAATCGAAGACAAAGAAGAACTCGAAGAATCACGCAAGCGTGCCTCCGCCGCCACCACCACCTTCAATCCCACCGGCGCTACCTCTCTCCTCCACCACTTCAACAACTCCTCCTCCTCGGCCACCACTTCCAAATCTCAGCGCATAGGCCTCTCCTCTTAATAATCCCCTCAAACCCCCTAAACTCGTAGTCGATAGTTTTTACATTTTTGTTCTTGCAGTTTCTGTGAATCCCTTTACCGATCCAAAACCCTAATCCAGAATGGAAGTTGAAGTGAAGCTCCGCATACCCGATTCCGAAACGTACAAAACCCTAATTTCTCTCCTCTCCCCTTTCCACATCAGAACCCACAACCAACACAACAATTTCTTCGACGGCGTCGCCGGACAACTCTCATCCCAGCGCGCAGTCCTCCGCATCCGCTTCTACAACGACCAACCCACCACTAAATGCATCATCTGTCTCAAAGCAAAAGCCGTACTAGTAAACGGAGTAAGCAGAGTCGAAGAAGACGAAGAAGAACTCGATCCAACAATTGGCCAAGAATGTTTAACTGACCCAAACCGTTTAGGATCTCTGGTTGAATCCTCAAGAATCATGAAAAGGGTCAAAGATGAATTTTTTGGTGAAATCAACGATGTTGAAGGGCTAGGGTTTGTGTGTTTGGGTGGATTTAAGAATTTAAGAAATGTGTATGAGTGGAAAGGGTTGATGATTGAAGTGGATGAAACAAGTTTCGATTTTGGTACACTGTATGAGATTGAGTGTGAGAGCACTGAGCCTGAGAAAGCTAAAGAACTGATCGAGGAATTCTTGAAGGAGAATGGGGTTTCTTATTCCTATTCAGTCGCTTCAAAATTTGCCATTTTTCGATCTGGGAAATTGCCATAGTAAGTTAAATTCTTCAATTTACATGTTTACTATGTTCTTGAATGAGTTCATGGATATGTATTTCTGGTTTTAAATTGTTTCCTGAAGTAATAATGTGTTCGTTTCGCTTAATTTAGATATTTTTGGTTGATTGCACTGGAAACAGAATTGAGTTGCTTTATTCTTAATTTTGTATTGGTATAAAAGACCAGATATGATTTGTTATAATGTTGGGATCATGTGATTTCGATGCTGATTCACATTTTTCTTTTATTTTGGATCATCATTCTATGATTAATGCTGTTATTCGAAACTTCAAAATGTGTTTTTTCATCAGGTTCTATCAGAAGTGGCTTGCTGTTTAAATTACATTGGGGATTTAAGTAATTCTCGAAATGGATGTAAATTGATGCATTTAGCATTACAGAGGTCATGGGATTTTGCAAGAATTGAACTATAGTTACATTGAAATCACAAGTTTGGTAGTAAATGAGTACATAATTGAATCTTGATGGAATTTACAAAATCCTGGCTGATGAATTTCAACCTTCCATCTTCAACGCATGAAATTCAATTCATAGGGTTTCGTTTTTGTGTCTCAATTTTTTTTGGTCATGAATTCCATTTCATTTGTTGCAAACCGAATACTTGAGAGAATTTAATCACTTGAGATTACAATTTCTTACAAAACCTTTTGCAAGTCAAACACCACTTTTAATAGTCAAACACCACTTTTATGTTTAGGTAGCATGAAGCTGAAAGCTTTTGGTTGTAGCTTTTATTTGTGTAAAGTGTTTGATAAAAGTAGTTGTAAACTTTTGAATTGGGTAAAATTACTTGAAATCAAAATGCTAAAAACACTCAAAAGCTATTTGAAGTAGCTTTTTGATTATGAGTTTTTTGTTTAAGGAAAAGCTAAAAGCTTATCCTGCCAAATGTAGCTTGTTTCTTTCATTCAAGTTTTTTTTTCATAAAATCTAAAGACTCTCAAAAGCTCTTTGCTGAAAATACATCAACTTTATGGAACCTGTCTAACTTTATTAAACTCACAATTTTATATTTATGATATTTTTAATTGAAATTGTAGATTTTTGTTATGAGGTTGCATTATATTTGATATACATTGTACTATGACTTCAATTTACAAGTTGTACTCCATTACATTATATCGAAAATTGCAATGAATTATTGTTTAGATTTGGTTCTTTTATTTGCAAAAGTAATAGGCATAAGGCTAGAGGGAGTGGTGTTATTTTTATCACATCCTTTTTGCTTCCACGTAGGTGCCATTTAGGATTTGTCCCACCTATTCAAAAGTTTGACATTTAGAAGACACGGTTTGCCACTTTTATGCCATGCAACACACTTTTTTTTAAAACAAAATATATATATATATATATATATATATATATATATATATATATATATATATACTAATATATAAAACTAAAGTTTTCATTAAAATACCAAGAACAAATACACTTAAAATTAAAAGACAACTTAAAATCAAAGAACACACAGAGACACTTGAAATTAAAACACATGAAACATTAAAACAAACATCAACTTAAAATAAAACACAAAACAAGTTTATTTGACATATTGATGTCATTTTTGCCACACCGCCTCACAAGCTTTGGTTTTTATGATACCACACACCGTAATTATTCCTCTAATCCTTTTTGTACTTAAGTTGCATCACGTGTAGTTTAAGCATCTTTTTCCAAAAGTGACTACGGAATTTTTTATCCTAATACGAAATAATAGACAATGGAATCCCGTGTAATTCGACCACCTCTAACACGAAGACTTCTACTATTGATAAGACTATGAAGGGGTGTTTTAACCCAATATAATGTCCATATTTGCTCAAGGGATCTATGACTAAGAATAACATGTAGCTCATTTGATGTTTGCAACCCCTCAATGAAGTCCATTTAGATTTCTTCCCAAACTTCCATGTGAAGGGGTATATGTTGAAGCCTTTATGTTTGATTGTCCCTTCCAACATTAATCTTTTTCAGAAACAAATGACAATTTTTTTTATCTCTCTGTAATAAATCAAATTTTGTTGTACATGTCTTATTTTTAGTACTACTTGAGCGTAATCAATTAAGTGGTCCACACAAATAATTATAGATATGTCACTATATACGTTTCTGTATGAATTGATTAGAGCATGATCGTCTTCATTAGCTTATTCTTCATCTTCACCATAGCTAATATGTTGATTTGGGTATTTATCAAAGACAAACAAGATAAACACAAATCAAGATGAAGAAAACAAACAAACAAGATAAATCAAGATGAAGAATTTAAATGCAACTCTAAGAACCCTAAAATCTACAGAAGAGATGTTATGAAACAACTATGAACCCTAGTCATTGACATTATCCCAACAAAGAAAACATCATAACCATATAAATAATCATTTCTTCTCTAAAACACACAAATCCCAAGATTATTCATCAAGGGAATATTAAATATATGCAAACCAATCAGTTCATGACAATAAAACATGAGATCACAATCATTAGATAGTTAAATTAAAAATCCTACACTTTGAAATCCCACAAGACATACCTAAAAAAACTTATCCTTTCTACCAAATACTTTACTTTCTCTTCTTAGCAGGTGGTTGTTCTTCTTCATCATCATCTTCCTCCTCTTCTTCCTCCTCCTCCTCATCATCATCATCATCATCATTTCCCTCTTCATCATCATCATCATCATCATCATCGTCATCATCATCATCATCTTGATTACCATTTGCCTTAGGATCTTCACTAGGGTCTTCTTCTTCATCATCATCATCCTCTCCCCCTTCTTCTCCTGAGAAATCTTCATCTCCAGCATCATCATCTGCCCCCTCTGCATCATCATCATCATCACCATCATCATCTTTTTCATCATCATCATCATCATCACTCCCTTCTTTAGCTTCAGGTTCAGTCTTGTCCCTCTTGTGAAGCTCAGAGAAAAGAAACCTGCAAGTTTCAAGATTTTATTTTATTTATTACCACAAATTGACAACAAACTGTTTTATATAAAAAGACCCAATTCCCAAATAAAACTCCAAAAAGCAAGAAAAAAAATTGTTACCTTGATGTAACTACATCGTTCAGAAGAGGTCCTATCTGAAAAGTGTAAACATATTAGATCTTAGAGCTACAACATATGAAAAGATTAATATGAACTAAAAAATGATATTTTGAATTTACCCTTTGTTGAATAAGGCATGTAATATTCTCAAAATCAATATAAATTTGTTAACTATTATTAACCAAACAAGAAAATGTTCAATGAAAGACAAAAAATCACAAATTTAACAAGAGCCAAACAATAATGTTCAGAAAATAATCAAAACATCAAACACCTGGTGGGCATCCAAATACAGCAAAATCTAACGTATATACAAACGATGATTATGTCATAGACATAAATAAACAAAACAAGAACATGTTTAAAGTTTCCACAGGACATTAAACAACAAAAAGACACATAAAAGAATGTGATTGTAAGTCAAAATCAAAATATAGAAAGCGACACATTAAACCCGAGAAGCAAAACCCCAATTCTTTAACAGAAACAAATAGAAGTAACAGCAAATTAAGTTCAATTGTTTACAGTGAACAGAAAACTAAAAGCAACTGAAACAGAAACAAAAAGGACAAAGGGTTCGTGAATAGATATACCATCATGAGAAGGAACGCAAGGGATCTATGAACAGCCACAAAGGTTTCAGAAATCACAGCTTCAGCAAGAAAAGGCGTCATCTTTCTCTGCAAAAAACCCAAATCAGAGGTGAAAGATTGTGCGACTTCCATTGTGAAAAACCCAGAGAAACTATCTCGTGAAACCCACTTAAAATTCAATGAATTTGTGAAAAGATTTTCTGAGAAATTGAAATTGAAACTGAAGCTGAAACTACTGAAACGGAAACGACTGTTGGTTAAAAAGAAAAAGAAAAAGGAAGTAAAAACTAGACTAGGAAAGTAGACAGGGAGTGTTGGGTTAGGGTTCGGATGTGGAAACTTCGGGGGGTGTCGGAGCAAAAGATGTTTTTGTTTGTTTGAATCAGGAAAGGGGCTAGGGTTTTGTCTACAAGCAAAGGGAGTCCATTTTCTCATAATGGTAATTTTGACTTTGACTAAAAGCTTTATAATTCATTCATATAAATTGGGTTAACTGTTAATAATTTTAGTAAGAAGAAAAAAATTTAGACTAATTTTCTAATTATTTTCAAGATTTAGCAAAAATCAAAAAAATCAAAAAATGACTCAAAATTCTAGATGAAGTCTTATAGAGTGTAGGGTTGTGAATAATACGATTGCATGTATAACATTTTTCTTTTAAATGAATTTTGTCATATAAAAATAACAGAGAATTACAAATATAACCATTTTATTACTTACTTTGCAAAAATAGTTAAAATTTAAGGTTTTTTTTTTTTAAGTCACTAAAACCACAAATGAAACTTCTTTACCTGCGGTTTCATCATACGAACTGCAGTTTCATGGCATGTCTTCAGTTTCAGCGGCGGAAATAAAAAAATCATTTCTAACAAGGCGAAATCGTAGATGGTCAAATCACATATGACATTTTGGCCATCTTCGATTTCCTCTCATCTCAGTTTCGGTTTCGTTTTTTGTTTCATATGAGTTTTCTGATTTTTTGGAGAAAACAGTCAAAAAACATACACAGAACTAGTAAATAAGAGCGCACATGATAAAAAAAACTAAAGAAAACATCAATTACAACATTGGTAAGTTCTTCAACCATAAAGAAATAGAAATTGAACGTTTGAGTGTAAAAAATGAGCTACACATTTCTTAGGCTTGAATATAATTGGCTATTATTGGGCATGTAACAACCAAAAAATACTAAGTAATTTTTTTTTAAGTCAACCAAAACTGTAATGCCTGAGTTGCCAGGTACTTTTTCTTATGCAAAATAAAATATATGTATTTTATGGGTGAGGGTCGTACGTTGGGCGTACATAGTGTATGCATGGCGTACACATGGTGAGGCGCGGATCGGGGAAGTCCCTGCGTACGCTGGGCGTAGTATGGACAGAAGCAAACCCTAAATTTTAGGGTTTGCACCCTATTTAAAGAGCTTAAGTCTCCCATAACCCTCATCCTCTCAGCCTCCATTGCCCTTAGAGTATTAGAACCGAACCCTAAACCTCTTGCATGCATTTTGAGCTTACCTTGTGCATTTTTTGTGTTATTTGGTTGTCACACCCCCAAACCGGAACGGCGGAAACGTTCGGGGGCGGAGGACGTCATGTACAGTATCACAACAATTATATAATATGAATCAAAGCAAACATAACCATTACATTGATAAGGTAGAGTGTTTACATCTGTTCAATACATAAGTTGTATGACATCAAAATGTATAACAAAAGTATAAAAGATGTGACTCTAAATGCTCCGTCTTCTCAAAATCCTACGGGTGTACCTGTCTTATCGGTTTCCTGAGAATACAAGTGATTTTGAAAGTGTATCAACATTTAAGTTGGTGAGTTCATAAGTATGTTTTAGTGCTGAAAAACTTGTCTTTGTACTTTAAAAATACTAGTGTGTTTCTCAAGAAAATCCAATATTTTCTATAGTGAAAGTAGTGTAATCATGTATGTTCCTTGTATTTGTATATTGTATTAGTGTACTCTATGTTAGAAAACAACGTATTGTATCTGTAATTGTATGAAAACCTTTGTATGTATATATGGATACCACTAGTAGTGGTGAAAGTAGTGTACTATATTAGTGTTTGCATGAAAACCATGTATGAATGCCTTGTTATTACCAGTTGTAGTGTAAAGTAGTGTACCATAATTTTATTAATGAAAATAAAACCATTGAAGTAGTGTTAATCCCGTAAACAAATGTTTTAGTTATACTGTTGTGAGTTTCATATAACCATACTAATATGACTTAGTGGCCTCTACGATGTTCTTCAGGCGTCGGTATTTATGACATTTGTCAAACCCCCAGGCATGCCTACCTAACTGTAGCTAACAGTTTGGATGTGTGATTGTCAGTCCCGTATAGATTTATACACAAATCTCACGCTCTCCATCCGGGAGACTCTGGTTATAATTTATAGGACTTGAACCTGTACCCTGGTGGGTACCCGAAGTAGTGCCTTACAACCCTGTATTAACTAGTTTACATAGTGTTATAGTGTTCTCTTGTAATTGAAATTGTATGTATTATCTTGTAGTGTAAAATAGTTATACTTAAATAATTACTTAGTAGTGTATCCTTGTAATAGTGAAATAGAGTAGACTTTCCCAAACTATACCTATTATAGTTTGAATAAATGTTTTGGTTCTGTGAATTGTTCTTAGCAAAATAACGTAGAAATTCCAAAATTATACCAATTATAGTTTATTTGTAATGTTCTATAATGCCCTGAAAATGTAATGTAATGTACTGAAAACGTTTGCAACTTAATTGTATAAAAGTAAAATACCCTTATGCTTGACATATTACAAAAGGGTTAGAATATATATAATATTTTTAGAAAGCGTAGTGAATGCTCGTTTTGAAGCAATTGCAAAGGTTTTTAAAACTATTTGAAAATGTTTGTATAAACACAATAGTCCTGGTGTTTTACTTGTATCCCCCCCCCCCCCCTAAAAACATTAAAACATTGAAAAAGTAGGGGTATGAACTCACCTTGTATGTGCGTTTGAGTTTGGGATAGCGAAGTGGTAGAGACGATCCTCCGGTTGTTGTATGAGCGAAATAACGTTACCCTAAAATAATTATATTTGACGTCGTATTTAAATTAAATAATTAATTAAGTATAAGGGGACTTACAATTAAATTGGAAATAAATGGGAAATGTTGGAAAATGGGGTTTACGGCTGGAACAATGCGTTTACAGTTGGATCATATGAAATTATGAAGATTTGAAGGACACTTGAAGATTTGAAGATGGATATGAATGTTCTTGATGGAAATTATGAAGTTTTGAAGGAATAGGGGCGTAAACACTTGAAGATTGAGAGAAAAAGTAATTGTTCACGGTTGAAGATTGAGAGAATTTTGAGGGTCTTTACGGATGGAAGTGAGTGAAATGAATGTGTTCTCGCCCAAACACATATATAGGGGTGTTTACGGCCTTAGGGCTTCTAGAAGGGGGTGTTTACGGATTCTAGTCAATGGAATAAGGGTTTACGGTTTGAATTTCACCCCTTTAGGGGTTTACAGATTGGTTTACACCCTTAAGGTGTTCACGGTTTGGAGTTTACACCCTTAAGGGTGTTCACAATTGGATTGTCCCACCAAAGACATGTGTTTATGGTTTGGACAATTCCAAAACCGTAAACACATTCCACTCTTTCTGAACTTTTGATTAAGTTAAGTTTAGCCCCTTAACTTGAACTAGTGTAAATTTGATTTGTTTTAGTATAATTCTATGATAAGTATGAAGTTTATACCACCCTATTTCAACATGGTTTCTCCATAATCTTGCATATATGTTAAATAATCACACTTGTAGTTTAGAGTTTTATTAAAAAGAAATAATGGGTTGTCACATTGGTGGTTTTGAAGAAGAAGGTGTTTGGAGAAGAAGCAAAGATGTGAAGAGAGCTTGTAGTTCCAGAAGTTTGGCACTATTTCTGACCTATTTGAGGTATAAAGCTTAAACCTTGGCCATTGCATGCTTAGATCTATTTTTGTGGTGATCAATGTTATATTTTGGTCCCATAGTTGAGATTCTTTGAGTTAAAGGAGTTTCAATCCATATGAGTTGTCCTTTTAGGCTCTTGGAAGTGTTAAGGGCCATAAAAATCGGACCTTGATGGTTTAGCCTCAACCATGCAATTGTTAGATGCCAACTAAAAGTGTTTATGGACTTGATTTATGTCTTAGTCCCCATTCACGCATGCAAAAGCATAAAGTTTATAACTTTATGGCTTAAGACGTTGTTAGGGACCTGGATCTATGTTTTGGACGTTAGGGATTAATGGAATAAGTCACTAGAAGGATTTTGGGTTGGCTGGCCAGTACGTTGGGCGTACTCCATAGTACTTTGCGCGTACTGGGTCAACCATCCATATTTGGTCAAGGCCAACGTACGTTGGGCGTGCATTCAGAGTACACCGCACGTACGCATGCAGTGGGCAAAATGATTTTCGGGCTCTAGGTTATTGGGCCTTGGATTGTTGGGCCTTAAGCCCACCTGTGGATTAAGGCCTATGGGCCTAGGGCTATGATGGATGGTATTTGGGCCTTATTGGGCCTTAGAGTTTATTTGATTGGGCTTGGACATTTTGGGTTGTTTTGAAATTGGGCCTTAGGAGGAAGACGCCCAATAAGGCAAGGATTAGGGAACCTTTTGCCTTAAGACATAAATTAGGGTTTGGATCTTGGAGTCATAATGTAATCTAATGGCTAATTAGAAATTTATGTTGTGCGATAGGGGGGAGTTCACGAGTCATTCGCCGAGTATGATTTGACACCCACAGTTTGAAGTGAGTCTCCCTTCATAGAATTCGTAGGTCGAAGGCACAAAGGTCGGCCCACTAGTTATGATATAGCATGATGATTGTCTTTGTGATAATTATCGGTTGTGCATGAACTGATTGATGCTTCTATGATCTATGTGTGATATTATGTGGTAGTGGTAGGGGTGAAATAGACCAGGTATCCAGTTGAAATAGACCAAAGGGGCAGGTCGAGTACCCATATATGCTCGACATAATCCGGTGGAAATAGACCGAAGGGGCAGGTCGAGCACCCAGATATACTCGGTAGTATTCGGTTGAAATAGACCGAAGGGGTAGGACAGCACCCGGATATGCTTGGTAGTATGTTTGTTCTGTATGTGGTATGGTGGGGAACTCACGAAGCTTTGTGCTTACAGTTTCAGTTTGTGTTTCAGGTACTTCCAGCTCGAAGGGAAAGGGGACGCCATGATCGCATCGCATCACACTATGTTTTTTCACAGTAGAGATTTTGGGACATATGCTCTGATAATACTTTTCTATGTTTTATTTTGATTACATAGTATGATCATCGTATGTTCACATTATGTTTTGAAATTGATGATGTTTTGGGATATGGGATTAGTAAATTTAAAAATAAAAT